AATTGCCTCAATCTAGAGTTCACCTGGCTCCTTCACTGCTCAGGGGATGGGCGTTCTACAGCATGGATCTCTTGTGAATTATCTTACTCTCTACAGAGATTTTGGTTTTGTTCAGTGAATCAGAATTATCTTGAAACCTTTTTAAACAGATCCAAAATTACTAGAATCCCTAGAACTTTTCCCCTTCCCCATCTTTGCTAAAGCTAAAACTGTACTCCCCAGAGACTCTGAAATTTAATCCAAGAAGAGCAGGAACTATTACAGGGCTGTTGGTTTTAAAATCATTTCCAGGTTGGGAACACAGCTCAGCAGTGAAGTAGTTGTCTAGCATGCACTAGGCTCTGGGTTCTATCCCAAAAGCCACCAAAAAAAAAAAAAAAAAAAAGAGGAGAAGGAGGAGGAAGAAAGGTTTAATTCATCAGCCTTTTTGATGAAGAAAAATGTGGATTCATTCGATGAACATTTATTGACAAGATTCAGTTTCTTTGTGTGTGGAATACTGTCCCAGGTGATAAAAATACATCTTGAGACCAGTGAATTAAAAGCCTGGGTTGAATGATTCTTCAAGGCATAAGGGGTCATGACTGCCAGAATTTGAAAAATGGCTGGAGATTGCAGTCAAAGGGAACCCTGAACGAAGAACTTTTCTTTCCAAAGCAAAAATGTGAAGGAACACAGCTACTCATAAGGCTCAGGCAAAAAATTGCAAGTTCAAGGCCACTCTGGGCAACTTAAAAGAAGACTCTGTCTCAAAAATAAAGTAAAAAGAGCTGGGGGTACAGCACAGTGGTAGAGCACTACCACTGTGGTGTGAGGCCCTGGGTTCAATCCCCAGGACTTCCTCACCCCTCACAACTTTTTTTTTTTTTTTAAAGGAACAGTCATATTACTGACTGAATGTAACATCTCCAGGGTTTGGAATCCTCACTAACCCCGGCAAATACCCTGATAGATGAAACTGTCAGAAAAGTTACAGCTCCACAGTGCATTCGTTGTACCCAGAAGGAGCCACTCAGGGCCTAGGTTTAAGGGTTGGCCCCTCTGAATGGCCTGGACCTGAAAGCAGGACTTTATTTGCTGAACTCAGGAGAGTGGGCAAGTTAATTTCTAGTGTAAATTTAATCAGAACAAAACAGCCAAGGGGTGCTGATAATGAAATGATTACTTACTCCCTTGGATCCCTGGAGCTAAGTGCTTTGTATCTCTAATGTCACTTAGTCCTCTGGGCAACTTTAGGCAATACAGGTGGTATCCTTACTTCACTTAGAGCTTAATTAGCTTTCTAGGCCCTGTGTTTCTTCCTTTACCTGTGAAGACAGCCTGTCCTATAAAGTGACTTCTATTGATTGCTGATTCACTTATTTTGTGTACCAGTTTGTCTCGAGAGATTTGCATCATTTCCATTAACTGGGGGCATTTCATTAATGTCCATTAACTGGGTAGAATCCCTGAAGAATACGCTGCTTTTTCACTCTAGAAATTGGAACCATTTGGGTAGAGATACAGGGTTGGAGAGATGTGGGCCTTTTTCTGCCGGAAACAGTAATTTCAAGCACCATCTCACTAAGCTTCTTGGTAGCTCTATTGTCATGGGGACACCTCACAAATCTGATTGAACTAGTATATGCCCAGCTGAGGTGTGCTCTGAGCCAGGCCCTATGTTGCACTAAGTATCCTGACAGGAATCAGACCTGGTGCCTATGCCTGGTAGAAGGAACAGAAGATACAGGTAAATAAAACAGAAGGCCCTAGTGTGACCAAGGCACAGTATGCTAGAGGAGTGTGGGGGAGGAGAAATGAATTGCAAATGGGACTCTCCAGAAATGCCTAGTGGAGGCTGGATTTAAGTTGGGCCTTTCAGCCCTGCCTAAGTATTCATTGGGAAACACTGGAAGGAAAAGCTTTTTAAGCAAAGGATCCATTTTAGCAAAGTTATAAGGTAGGAAAGTACATAGAGTATCTGGGAAATTTAAGGATGACTTCATGAGGACGAGGTCAGAGATTAAAATATTTTCTGACAAGTCACCTTACATTCATCCAATATGAGAAATTCTCACACTCCATAAAAAACAGTGATCATTTTTTGTTTCCCATTGTTGCCATCATGTAAATGATTAGTGCCGTATGTTGAGCAGAATATTATTACATGTCTACCACTAGACTATCACATTTATTTCTCAGCTAATCCTGCAAATTAGGACTTAATCTCATTTTACAGATGAGTATACATAAAGGATAAGTAGAATTTAAAGTGATGGTAGCCCAGGATTAATGCCACAGCTATTGTTTTTTCTACTACACCCCAGCGCCTCCCACAAGTACTTAGGCACTAAGTACAATCACAATGGTCACACACTTCACTTTTGAAAATTATGTTTGCTTTTAAAAGAAAATAAAGGAAACAATTTTTTGTATATTGCCTTAAACATTCATTTTACCTGTGAATTCTTGGACATACCTACAAAACCATATATATTGTGTTTGACAGGCCATATAAAAAATTTCAGGGGTCTGGGGTTGTGGCTCAGTGGTAGAGCACTTGCCGGGCATGTGTGAGGTCCTGGGTTCAAATATCAGCACCGCATATAAATAAATAAAATAAAGGTCCATCTGCAACTAAAGTTATAAAAAAAAAAAAAGAATTTCAGGACATGGATGTAGCTCAGTGGTAGTGTAGCACACTTGCCTAGCGGGTACAAGACCCCAGGGTTCAATCCCTAGTACTAAAAAAATAAAAAATCAAATGCATGAATTCAATAACCAGCACCCCCATTCCCCTTTCATAAAAAAGAATTTCAAGACTAATTTTATTCATACAAGTATTATTTACATCTTTACATGACTTTAGAATCTAACATGCAAACGAAATGAGACTATTGTAAAATTCCTGTCCTTGTTTTTGCCTTGATATAGTTGCTATAATTACAGGGAAAGAGACATGCACCTTAGCCCCCACCCTTCCACCCAGAGTTACTATAGCATCTTGCAGCTGTGGAAAATATCCTGAGTACAGTTCTCAAAAAGGCTTCCTTGGCCCTAATTTCTCTAAATACCATCAGCTTTCCACCTTTTCATGAGATACTTACCATCAATAGGTCCATTTTGCAGCTTAACACTGAATAACTGCCTTTCTCTTTTAGATGTTCCTTTGGCAGAGTCTATTTAGGCAGTATCTTTTATGAATTCCACATGTAAAATTTCTGTCTCTGGTATTCCTCCCAATTCCATGTACTTCCCTAAATGTTTCATTATATTCCTGGTACTACAGTTTGAATTCTTTCTTTTTTGAGAAACCACAGACACAGGTTAGTGTAATTGTAACAGATTTAAAGATACCCTGATGCCAACTCATAGGCAGTTTTATTAGAGACAGATGATGGCATTTGTTTCATTGGTAGGATGAGGGTGATGCCCTCTGCAAACACAATACTTAGTGGAGGGTAAGTTTGGAAAGTATATTTGTTATTTTTTCTGTTACAAACCACCCCAAGACCTAATGGCTTAAAATAACACTTATTTCTCCTAAGTCTACTGCCTGCCTGGGTGTTTCTGCTGATCTGAACAGGTCTGGCTGATCTTAGCTGGGCTTGCTCACATATATCTGATCAGTTGGCTGATTAGCCAGCAAGACTGTTTTCTCTACACGTCATACATCTCTGCAGCCACTCTCACATCCTAGGCAGCCAGCCTGGTAATGCCTTGGAGTGTGGCAGAGGTGCATGAGTAAGCAAGCCCAGCAATGCAAGGAAACAAGGAAAAACACATACACACTTATGCTGACAGCATCTTTGCTAACATACCATTGGCCAAAGAAAGTGACATGGCCAAGCCCATGGGAGGGGACTACAAAGTTACAGAATATAGAAAAGCTATTAATCGGGGCCAAAATGCAATTAGTCTTTCAGTTAGGTCCCCTCTATGTGAAACTTTCAGACTTAGATTACTTGATCAAGTTTTTCTAGAAGGGGAATAAAAAGGCCAAGTAATGGTTGTGTATTGGGCCTATGGGCCTGCACAGGGCTAGGCACTTTACCTGCTTTTGCAACAACCCTCACAACAATTCTGCAAGGTAGGTAGGAATTAAAGTTCAGAGAAGTTAAATAACTTGCTCGAGGTCATCCTCCTAGTGGGCAGGAATTAGAATGCATGTCCATCTGACCCCAAAATCCAGGTTCTATGTATCATCATCACTGCCTCTCAAGAGTACCATGGTTGAGCCAGGCAAAGTGCACATTCCTGTAATCCCAGCAGCTCAGGAGGCTGGTGCAGGAGGATCAAAGTCAGCCTCAGCAACTTAGTGAGACCCTGTCTCAAAATAAAAAATACAAAGGACTAGGGATGTGGCTCAGTGATTATGTGTCCCTGGGTTCAATCCCTGGTACTGCCCCCCAAAAAGGAAGTAAGTTCCAGGGTCTGCCTTAACCTCCCTGCCAACATAAATTTTCAGTTGAGTTGATGCTTTCTGACAAGTTCTACAAACCCCTTCTCTAAAATGTTGCTGTGATCCTAAAGGAATTGTGCGACTCTCCTGAAAACCCACACATTCTCCCAAGTTCTCTGTCGACTTAAAGCATGCTTTCCTTCCAGATGAGGATTGGTCTGTAGGCTGCACAGGCATCCCCAGAATTGTGACCTCTCCTGAACATGCCAGAGAGAGAAGGGCTGTCTTTAACCTTTGAAATTCAGGGACATCAGGGTATTAGAACATTTGAGCATGAGCTTTGGAATCAGATTCCCTGAAGTTCAACCATTCATTAGCTCTGTAACCTTGGGCAACTCATTTAACTTCTTAAAATATATTTCTTCATTTAAAAGGGGGAAAAATGGGAGTAAGAACACCTCGTTTGCAGAGCTGTTATAAGGACTAAATCTAAATTATGTCTATAAAGTGCCTAACACCGTGCCTGGTATGTAATAAGTGGCATTATTAGTACTGTTAGTGTTATTTCTAAGGAGAGTCTTTCCCCTCCTGGGAAACCCTGTATCTGTCTGTTGTGCAGGTATCCCTTACCTCCAGCCAGTCTGTGCAGACTTGCTGCCTGCTATGTCACCGTGAACGGAAAGGCTGGGAAGAAGGCCCTTCACAAAATGGACTGGTGTTGCAGGGTGAGAAGCTTCCCCCTGACTTCATGCCAAAGCTCGTCAAGAATCTCCTAGGCGAGATGCCTCTGTGGGTCTGCCAGAGTTGCCGGAAAAGCATGGAGGAAGATGAAAGACAGACAGGTCGAGAACATGCAGTGGCAGTAAGTAACCACTAAAAGGGGGTTCCTGAATGCAGAGCAGCCACCTCCCCAGAGACATCAGGTGTTCCTTCCCTGTATTCAGGTGGCTCTACTTGGGCCTTCCCCAGGCCCAGGCACTGAGAGACTACTGGGTTACCTTGATACAGTTTTTGTGGCTCAGGTTCAGATTTGGGGGAAGAGACAGGTTTCAGGTATCCCACCAGCCCCTCAACATAGCACATACACAAGATAAGGATAAGGACCTGCACATAAGTGCCAGTAGATCACGATCCTACTCCTTCACGTGACCCTGATTTCTTCAGCTCTGTTGCAGTTTGAAAGTCAACCTAAGTATGATGACACAGAGGGTAAAGGTCAGTTTGGGGGTCTAAAATGTACCTTTGAAGCCTTCCAAGATAGCTAGGAACCATGGAAGTCTGCCATCCCATGAATCATGGTGGCCAGACTCTCCTCATTTCTCATTCCCCTCCACACTCTTTGACCCGGGATCCATTAAGTTTCAGGACTCCTGGCTTAAAGACCCTTTCTCTTGATAGCAGCCTCTCACCACTCTACATAACTGGAAGCACCACAGCCCTCACTTAGCAAAGGCGAGCCCTTGCTTATGCTTGTTGCCAGAGTTGTCCTGATTGTGTTTTGACAAAAATGACACAGAGGCCTGGGGGAGAAAGGAATGCCTTTGGTATACACTGAGGCAACAGAGGGTCTGCTCTGCTGTTTGATCGTGTGCCTTTTTCTTCCTGTTTTCCAGATCTCCTTGTCACACACGTCCTGCAAATCACAATCTTGTGGAGGTGATTCTCATTCTTCCTCGTCCTCTTCTTCATCATCCTCATCTTCCTCCTCCTCTTCCTGCCATGGGAACTCAGGGGACTGGGATCCCAGCTCGTTCCTGTCTGCGCACAAGCTCTCGGGCCTCTGGAACTCCCCGCACTCCAGTGGTGCTGTGCCAGGCAGCTCACTTGGGAGTCCTCCTGCCATCCCTGGTGAGTTCTTCCAGCTCAGCAGAGAGCCAGGCCCCCTCAACACAGACAGCTATATTTTCCTATCCGCTTTATTTAATAAATCAGAGGATTGTTTATTAAAATAAGTAAAAATAGAGCTGTTCTCATGGTAGAAGGGACAACTTAGACCTTCTATCTCTGTGAAACACCTTTCCCATGACTCTAAAGTTGAAAAATACTGCTAGTAGAAGAAAATTGCTCTCAAAGCTATCATTGATTCTGATAGCTGTTCATATTGAATCCAGGATGGGACCTCAAATGGTGAGGACCATTTGAGGAGTAAATGGAGTAGGGGGGCTCTTAAGGTAGTAGGACTTAAGTCTCATAACACCTGCCCTGCAGCACCACAGAAAACCTGGGCTTCCTCCACTCCTGGGCCTCGTTTCCTTCACTTGAGAGATGGCTATAAAAGCACTGCGCTTACGTCCATAAGAGATTGGCCATACACGCTGCCATGCTTATTATAGTCAGCAGCTTCTATTTTTAGACTAGGATAATGCTCTGAGACCCAAAAAGAAGAATCTTGAGTTATTGATTTATTATATAAACATGATTTACTGTCATACTGCTATATGGAGGGCAGAACTCTTCAAAATGGTGCCACCCGCAGGAATCAGGCATCCCCTGATTACTTGGTTTCAGAGCCTCAGCTTGTTGCAGGCATGCCTGTCCCAGGTCTGAGGAAAGCCTTTGAATAAGCAGTTCCTGGACAGATTAAACACACATCCTCCTTTCATGCTTATGCACAGTAGAGATGTGTGACCCTCTCTGGGGCCAACATTCCCAGTACCTTTTCCTTTGGGCTTGGGTTCCTAAATCCTATCCAGCTGAGCTGCTGCCCATATAGAATCTTCTCTAGCTCCTGTACTGAGAGGCTATGCCCTCTGGTAACAATAAGCAGGATGCTGTGGCAGTGAGCTCATGGGCTTTTTCCCAAAAGTCTGACCCCTCTCTTCCCCCTCTACCCGCAGGTGAGGCTTTCCCTGTTTCGGAGCACCACCAGCACACAGACCTCACTGCTCCCCCTAACAGCCCCACTGGCCACCACCCCCAGCCAGCATCTCTGATCCCTTCTCACCCCAGTTCCCTTGGCTCCCCACCCCACCCACACTTGCTGCCCACCACCCCAGCAGCACCTTTCCCTGCCCAGGCTTCAGAGTGCCCTGTGGCTGCTGCTGCTGTCCCCCATCTCCCAGGGCCATGTCAGAGCCCCCACGTACCCTCCACCAGCATGCCACTCCTGAAGATGCCTCCACCATTCTCGGGGTGCAGCCACCCCTGCAGTGGGCACTGCAGTGGGCATTGCAGCGGGCCTCTCCTCCCACCACCAGGCTCTCAGCCACTCCCTAGCACTCACAGGTAAGTGAACTGTGTGAAGACCACACTCCCTGCTCACTGGAACTCAAAAGAGTTTTGGAAAACTTTACCAAGGGTACCTTTGGAGTAGAAATTAAAAGGTAAATTGAAGTGGATAGTAGCTCAGTGGTAGAGTGTATGCTTGGCATGAACAAGACCCTGGGTTTAAGCCCCAGAGATGTGTGTACGTACATAGTAGTTGCTCTTTTTTTTTTTTTTTTCTCATTGTTTTCCCAATTATAAAGAATTTTTTTTAATTTGGAAAAAAATGTCCTTATAGCCTAAATTTCTTAAAAACTGTGTAGTTTTTCTTAATGTTTTAAGTATCATATCATGATCATTTCCCCAATTAAAATTCCTCCTTTTTTAAAAATTTATAAGTGTGCCTCACACAATGCTAGGCAGGCACTCTACCACTGAGCTACAACCCCAGCCCTAAAATCCTTTTTTTCTTTTTTTTTTTTTTTTTGGTACCAAGGATTGAACTCAGAGGCACTCTACCACTGAGCCACATCCCCAGACCTGTTTTGTATCTTATTTAGAGACAGGGTCTCACTGAATTGTGTAGCGCCTCGCTGTTGCTGAGGCTAGCTTTGAACTTGTGATCTTCCTGCCTCAGCCTCCTGAGCTGATGGGATTACAGGAATGTGCCATCACGCCCAGCTAAATTCCTCTATTAAGGACCACATACAGCATCTTACTTTATAGCTCCAGTATAGTTTATTTTACCATTCTATTCTTAAACATGTAGGCATTTCCAGTTTTTTAACCAAGAGAAATAAGGTTATAATAAATATTCTAAAACTGTATTTGAATGTGTCCTTTAGGAGATCCCTAGAACTCAACATAATTAAGAAACTTATATTAGTATATATTTGAAGTGAATTCTTGGAAGAAGGTAGATATATATTTTTTTTTTAGTTGTAGATGGGCATAATATCTTTATTTATTTTTATGTCGTGCTGAGGATCAAACCCAGTGCCTCACCAGTGCGAGACAAGTGCTCTACCACTCAGCCCCAGCCCCAGCCCTAGATGTATATTTTTTTTTTTTTAATTTTAATATTTATTTGTTTTTTTTTAGTTTTCGGCAGACACAACATCTTTGTTTGTATGTGGTGCTGAGGATTGAACCCGGGCCGCACGCATGCCTGGCAAGCGCACTACCGCTTGAGCCACATCCCCAGCCCCTAGATGTATATTTTTATAAGCCAGATCTATGTTAATATGTATCTAGATTTTCCCATTCAAAAATCCCACTGCCCTACTGCCACTACTTTTGGAAGATTTTTCCCTCATGTGTCTTTCACATGGTATTAATGGCATCTATACAGATTTGCTGCTTCTGGTTTTCACTTAGCATTACCTCATCAGCATGGTTGTGTTCCTTTGTGGTGGTCTTAGCCCTCAGTGTTCAAGGCTGAAGAAAATTAACAGTAGTCACTTCACTGTTCTCTAGTTAGTGAACATTCAGGTCATTCCACCATTTTAACATTATGAATAGCATCTTCAAAGATGTCTTGGCCTCAAGTGTTTTCCCTTTTTTAGATTTTTCTCCACGGAAAATTCTTCAGAATGGAAAATTTCTCAGTTAAAGGGTGTTTGGGTTTTTTCTTTGTTGTTTTTGAGGAGGGTTTTTTTGTTTTGTTTTGGGTTTTCTTTTGGTGTTGCTGGCGATCGAACCCAGGGCCTTTTACATGCTGGAGAAATGCTCTACTACTGAGTTAAATCCCCAGCCCAAGGAGGGTTCTTAATATGCATTGAAAAGCTGCTTTCCATAGGACTCTCCACGTTGATTCAACCACCAATAATAAGAGTCCTGGTCTCAGTACTCACAGGACCACTGGGTATTTTAATTTTCCTAAAATCAGTTTGCTTATGTGACAAATACAACAGTGGTCAATTTGGAGTAAACTTCTGTAAGCACCACTGATGACAATTCCTCCACACTCCTTTTTAAATGCTTGCTACATTTTTTCCTGTCCTTTTCAGCAGCGGAGAGAGGTTGTGTTGGACTGCCCTGAGAACTGAACTTCCACACAGCTCCTGGAGCTCCAACCTCACTCTGGCTCCCTGACCACTTGAGCTTCAATCTGTTCTTGCAGCACTTCAGCTGCTGATGGCCCAGCTCTAATTCAGCCTGTGTTATCCTTACTCTGGGGAAATACTCTCTACAAGAGGCCCACTGGGCATGATGGAGCACTCCCAGCAGCTCAGGAGGCTGAGGCAGGAGGATTGCAAATTCAAAGACAGCCTCATCAACTTAGCAAGATCCTTTCTCAAAATAAAAAATTAAAACAAAAAAAAAACTGGACATGTAGCTCAGTGGTTAAGCCCCCTTGGCTTCGGTCCTCAGTACCAAAAAGGAAATACCATGCCGAATTTATAGTATCAGGCACAAGCAGTAGCTCTTAGTCTATGGCCCAGGAGACACATTTGCTTTTCCTCAACTCAGTACTGCCTCAACTGTATTTAAGGCAGCTCCATTCACTGCTGCTGAGACCAAACTCAGGTCATGAGGACCTTAGAAAGTAAAAGGAAACACCTCATTGATCACCTGTGGGTGTGCCAGGAAAACCATCAGGCTGCTGCTCGGTTCAGACAACTACTTACTGAGCACCTGCTATATACAGTGTTATTGTGCTACACACTGGACCCACAAATCGAAGCAGCACCGTTCCTGTCTGGAGGGAGTACACAGTGTTAAGAGGCAAATAAGCAAACAGATCATTATAGTAATACATGAAAACAGAATAAAGGTGTCCACATGATGCCCTGAGAAGGATGCATATGGTAGGCACAGGCAGGGGAGGCACGGGGAAATCTCAGAGGTTTGTATTTTTGATGGCCCTCAAGAGTAGTTCTTGTGAGAAGTGCAGATCTAGCAAGTAGATGACAGTTGATGTGGCAGGTACAGGTTGTGGTGCCTCCCTAGACTTCTGTTGCCCACTCCTGCATTACCTTCCCTAACCTCTTCACCTATCTTTCTCCCTTGCAGCAGGGAGCCTGGGTGCAAGGGGCATAAGTTTGCACACAGCGGCCTAGCCTGCCAGCTGCCCCAGCCTTGTGAGGCAGATGAGGGACTGGGCGAGGAAGAGGATAGCAGCTCTGAGCGAAGCTCCTGCACCTCGTCCTCCACCCACCAGAGAGACGGGAAGTTCTGTGACTGCTGCTACTGTGAGTTCTTCGGCCACAATGCGGTGAGTGAGTCTGCCTGGGCTGAACAGGGCTGGGGGCCAGCCAAGGTGAGCAAAGGAGTACCCTGTTCTTCCCAGAGACCCCTCATCATGGTGATCATCACTGCACTTGGACCCTGTGAGTCCTGGTGCTTGCATCTGCTCACTTGAGCTTCAGGGCACATTTATGAGGTTGGGGTTTTTTAACATTTTGCTACCTTTGCTCTTCTCGTGGTTTCTCTTAAGATTGACTTTTTTTCTTTAGGCAAAAGGAAAGGAAATGGCAGAGAGAAAGCTATGATTCTGATGAGTATGTATACGTGTGTAATCCCAGAGAAGTGAACGCTTGTGCGTGATGAAGGCAGAGTGGAAGCAAAAAGGCTCTCAGTTCCCCAAGTGTGACAGCCAGCCGAGGGACAGGCCGTGAGCACAGACGGCGCCAGGAAGGAGACTCAGATCAGAGTACATGCTGTCTCTGCACAGGGGAGAAAGCAGTTCAGAAGTCTCATAAGGTGAAGAGGAAAGGGCTGCTGGTTAGGGCAGAGCAGCTGAGGATAGGAGGAATGAAAGTAATTCAACTACCAGTTGCCTTTGAGCTAGGCGCTGTTATCCTCATTTTAGAGATGATAAAATTGAGGCTCACAAAGACTCAGTGACTCGCCCAAGGTCATACAACTTTCAAGTGATGAAGCCCAGGCTCAAACCTACTAGCCTGGCTCCCCAGTCCGTGCTCGCCCAGCTCTGCCCTGTTTCCTCCCACTCCCTTCACCCCTGGCTGTCTCGGCTCAGAGCCCAGGCATTTGGCCTCTGTGGCTGATGGTAGGGAGAACAGCTGTCTCGCTCCTCACCACATACTTGGTGCCAGCGGGTGGGAGTGCTATGGGCCTCCCAAGCCCAGGGTGTAATGTCAGCGCCTCCCCCTCCCCCAGCCACCCGCTGCCCCGACGAGTCGGAATTATACCGAGATCCGGGAGAAGCTCCGCTCAAGGCTGACCAGGCGGAAAGAGGAGCTGCCCATGAAGGGGGGCGCCCTGGGCGGGATCCCTGGGGAGCCCGCCGTGGACCACCGAGATGTGGATGAGCTGCTGGAATTCATCAACAGCACGGAGCCCAAAGTCCCCAACAGCGCCAGGGCCGCCAAGCGGGCCCGGCACAAGCTGAAAAAGAAGGTGGGTGTGGGGGGAGCTCAGCTCTACTGCCTTTCCTCCCTGAGGAGTCCCTCACCCCAAGCCCCAAGACTTCTGGGGCATGAATGGTGCTAGCTGCCAAAGGCCTTGGCACAGCTCACTGCTCTGGGAAGGTCTGAATGAGTTTGGGAGGCATTAGGGTCAGAGAGTCTGGGGGCAAGTGAAGTGGAGGAAAAATGTTTCTTGGCCTCAGAAGCTGCTTACTGGATTCCTCCAAGCCGAGGACTTGCTTCATTCGGTCATTTATTCATTCAGCAAACACTTCTATAAACAATGGGAGCCAAAGTGTGCTGCATTTAAGTTCTCGTCTGGGAGAAGCTCAGTCCACTGGGGAGACACACAAAACTGGACAAGTACATATGTATGACAAGCACTGGAATGAGGGAAGCCCCCATCCTGCCCGAAAGTGGCTTTACAAGAGGCTGACTTGTGAGCAGAGTCATGGGGAGTGAGGACACATACATCAGGAGGGCCTCCTGGCAGCTGGCACAGCACACTCCACAGAGCTTGCTAAAGCCAAAGCTGAAAACAGCAGAGAGGCAAGACACAGAGGAGGCAAGGGAGGGCCTCGGGTCCAGCTGAAGATGAGCTTTGCCTCCAGGTGAGGGAATGTTACTGGACGGTTGTCATCAGAGAGTGTGCTTGAGATTTGTACTCTGATTGTGGTGTGGTGGTATGGAAGGTAAATTGAAGGGTGCTAATTTAGGCAGGAAAACCTAGAGTTTGATGCCCCAGCCAGGAAAAGACAAGCCAAGGGAGAGATAATTGAGGGTGGGGCAGCAACAGAAGAGAGAATTGCAAAAGAAGCAGAAGTGACAGGCCTGGGTGATCTGATGGCAGAATGATGGTGGTGCCCTTCACTGAGCCAGGATGGCGTTTACAGAAGACTGAATGCAATTGGGTTACATTTTCTCAGAGGTTCCCATGAAACATCAGCATGGAGAAGGAGGTGCAGGGTTAGGAGTTGCCAATACAAAGATGTAATTGAAGCCATGGGATTGAAATGGTCCTCAGGGCTAAGGTTTGAACCTAGGGAGCTATTCCCGAGCAGCCCTGCTGCCAGGTGAGTCCCAGAGCTTGGTGAAGTATTCCCTGCAGCTTTATTATCTCTTTGTCCACGTGTCCCCAACTGCATCTGCACAGTGCCACACCCAGAGGAGTCCAGCATCAAAGGGGTTTAGGTTTGACAGTCAGCTAGTTCCTGTTCCTGGGTGGTCAAACAACCCTAGAGCTCTGGAAGGCAGAAGTGATTTCCAGCTTTCTCTAGCCCAAAGAATTACTAAGATCCTTCTGCAACTTGAAGGACTAAGCCAAGGAGTTCCACTGCTGCCTTCAGAAAATGGTCAGCACTTTTATGTTCCCATTCAAAGTTGCCAGCGAGAGATTTTCAGTAAGCTGCAGTGTTCTTACTGGCCTCTTAAGGCAGCTGTCCCCAGTTAGGTCCCCAGAGGGTTTCCAGGCCTAATGTGCTTCTAATGAACTTGTGCCCTTTCCCTTTACTCATCATACTGTTTACTCACCTTTTCTTCTTGATAAGCTGTCTCTGCAAGCTCAGTTCAGATGTTTCCCCCTCTGCTGACTTCCTGAGGGAATTCTTCTGCTATGCTCCCACCACACCTTGGACATCTCTCTCAGCTGCCATTTGTCATGATCTTTTCACTCATTCCAAAGCTCACTGCGCAGCCACTGTTTGCTAGGCCCAGCCTAGAGGCCAGGACACACACAAACCAAGCATCCCTGCCCTCTCAGATGTAAAATCATGGGTCCACAGGCAGGGACACACATACATGGGCAGTTGCAATGTCAGGTCATTATCTGTTTAGACAGCAGCCTTCACTCTGAAGTCCCTCCACCTGCCAAAGTTAACCACAATCTGGCTGACCATCGAAACCCAGTTTCCCAGCAGCCAGATAGTGATGACTGCTTATTCACTCCCACTTTGGGAGTGTCTGTTTCCCATCCCACTTCCAGATCATGACCCTCTCACCTTTGTGTACTAATCCCTAATCTTTTTTTTTTAATTTATTTTTTTAGTTGTACACAATACCTTTATTTTGTTTATTTATTTTTATGTGGTGCTGAGGATCAAACCCAGGGCCTCGCACGTGCTAGGTGAGCACTCTACCGCTGAGCCACAACCCCAGCCCCAAATCCCTAATCTTTTGAAGCTGAATTCCTGGCCCCACCATTGTAACCTCCTCCACTGAATAATGTCACCTGATCCTTTCTCTTATGCCCACACCAATCTAGTATTCACTCTTAAACTGAGTAAGTATTGGTAAAAGAGCAAGTGAACTGTCCCCATCACTCTCTCTCGCCAGTACTCTCAATTCCTTGCCCCATTGCCCTTCTGTCAACACCTTCTCAGAAGAACTGCCCCTCCCCTTCTACACCCCCAAAATAGTACATGACCAGATCTGCCTGGGGCTCCTGGCCAGGTGTTCTCCCTTTGCCTGAGCCCCCACATTGCCTGGCCAGCTTCCATAGCTCCCTAGTCATCTTGCTCCACCTTATGCCCATTTGTACAGCCTCTTTGTCAGAATTCCATTCTCCAGCCTCCAGGTCCTTCATGGCCCCCTTCCCCTTATTTTTGGTAAATAACCACTTTCCATGTCAACAAGGAAAAAAACCATTGGACAGGCATTCTCTCAACTGATCACCTCACCTGCAAACTTAACTTTCCTCCTTGTTGGGAGAAGAGTAAGCCCTTCTCACCCAAACCCATGTGGTCCTTTTTTGCCTCCTCAACCTAGCATGAGGCCACCTACTCTGGAGCTGCAGCCTCTTCTGGGATACTTCCCATTGCCTTTCACTGTGTCCACTGCTGTCATTTCAAAGCAGAGTCTTTGTCAAGCTTGTAGCCTCTCCTGTACCTTTCCTCTCATCAAAGCCACCATTTCTTGAAAAACAATGTCTGTGTTTACTGTCTTCACCTCCCCCCTTGTCAGCTCACTGCAGATTGTTCTTCATCCCTTTGCAGAGTCACACTGATTTCTTTGTTGCCAAATTCAAATTCTGTTCATCCATTTAGCAACCTTTGACATTTTGTGTTTTCCTTTTCAAACTTTGTCTTTGGCTCCTCCGCCCTCAACCAAACAGGGCCAGGAAAGAAGCAGTGGGAACACCATCTTCTCCAGTTTTCTGAACTCTCAGACCACTTTCTGTCTCCTTTGTGAGCACCTGGCCCTCCCACTTGAGCACATCTCCCTGGGAGAAGAAAGCCATGGAGTTTGCACTATACTCCCTGCACTTCAAATTGATATCCCCTACTGCTACTGGGCTCCTCCTCACGGATGTCCCCCAGACACCTCAAACTCAGCAAACTGAGCTTGTTATCTTTCTCCATTGTCTCGTCAGTGGCACCACCACCCACCCTGATTGCCGAACCAAAGCTCACCTCTGAATGCCATTCTGGAGGAGTGCATTATACTGACAGAGCAGTGGGCCTTGCAGTTGGACCTCAGTTTGAAGCTCTGCTATGCCACACTTGCTGTATGACCTTGGGCAAATCACTTAACCTCTAAGCCTCGGTTTCTTCATCCATAAAATGAGAATAACAGGAGAACCTAAGTCAGATTATTGAGGATGAAATGGAGTGATGTACAAAAAGGTTGGGCATAGTGCCTGGCGCATGTCAACGTTCGGTCTATGGAGGCTGCTGTAGCAGCCACAGTGGTTGGGCAGTGTTTTCTCAACACATCTCATTCTCTCCCTACCCAATACCAAAAGTCCTATCCAGGTGGCTTTCCCAGTTGCTCTAACCAGTCACTTCTTTCCACCTACCGCCTCTACTTTCAAAGCCTTACGTGGCTGGCTGAACATTGTCCTCGGGCTCAAACCAGAACCCAGTGTGGCCTGCAGGCTCCTTGGGATCCAGCCCCAGCTTAGCTTGCTAGCTTCATTTCTCAGCCTCTCCTCTCTCACCTGCCTTCCCAGCCCCAGCCCCTGTCCTAGCCGCTGTCCCACACAAAAAAAAATAAAAATAAAATCTAGACTCTGACTGTACCTTTGAATGGTGTGTGTTCCCTAATGATACACTTTTCCATTTCCCAGCTTTTAGGCTTGCTATTCCTTCTGTCTAGAAAGTACTTGTCTCAACTTTCTCCAGGATGATTTCACTCAGCCTTCAGTGCCTTCTCTAGGAAGCACTCCCTGATGACCCAGTCTGGGATAGGAGGATCATTATCTCCCTGTAGCTCTGAATTAAACAGCCTGTTTATGTGTCTTCTCCCCCAGCTGACCAAAGTAAGTGAGGCAGAGACCATGTATGGCTGCATGCCCATCGCCTAGCCCACTGCCTCACAGTTGATGGTTAGTTAATGGTTGGCAAATGGAATTGAAAGCCATGGCAACTTCTGAAGATCATTCCTGGTGTATTATCCAAACTCTGTCATTTTACTAGCCACATAACCTGAGCCAGTTCTGTATTCTTCCCAAAGTCAAGATTCTTCATCTATAAATTGCAAATCGCGGTGCAGCAAGGATAGTAATAAAGATTAGAGGAGTCGGGTTCCTGGTATGTAGCAAAAGATGTGTGTTGCTGTGCTTTCTCCTTCTGTTCATATCAGAGTATATGGTGCTAGTACGCTCCCTCCTCACCAGTACATTTCAGATATTTTGGTTCAGCAGCAAGTTTTTTCTCTGCATGAAATCTTCCATGGACTCTCCTGTCTAACAACTAAAAGCAAAGCTGGTATAGGGAAGCAGTGAGGGGAAAGGGCCTCTGGGCCCTTGGCCATCCCATGGCCTCCAGGCCCTACACACAGCTAGAAATCCTGCTTCAGGCTATACTGTTGCTCACTTGATCCCTCACTACCAAGGCACAGCCTTAGCACTGGGGAAGGAACTTGGCACAGACTTTTTCTCCCTAATAGATGTACATCTATGTAGTAGGTGTACTACTTTTTCTCCCTAAGTCACAACCTGGAAGGTTAGGTTCAGAGAGAGTAAGTGATTTGTCCAAGGTCCCCAGGGACAGCTGACCTTAGTCAGTAATAGAGCCAGTGTTCAAAAGAGATGAGAGAATAAATGCCTGCCTGCTAGGATACAGGGTCACCCACTTTTAAGTTGACTCTTAAGGTGGTGGCAAGCTCTCCTTTTTTCTCCTCAGATTCATTTTTCTGCTTTTCCCCCTTCATTCCCAAATCGAAGGAAAATACTGAGGTGGTGCAAGTCATCCAACACCAGGTGCTCTACCACCACATTCTTCCCAAGGGTTCTCCTCTCTGCTTCCTATCTCCTTCTAAAGGCCTTATTTGCCTGCTGATGCCTTGAAGTGGGGGTGATGGCCAACAAATTGATTATTCTCCAGATCTGAGTCCATCAAAGCTTATTGCAAGGTCTCAGAGCCTCCCTGGGCTGAGGGACTGCTTTTACATGTTCCTGGTATGGCTGTCCATGTATGCCATTGGGCACGCTTTGAGTGTGGCCTCAAGTCATTGAGGCCAGCATAGTCATGAGAAGCATTTCTGTTGGAAGGGCACTCAGATGTAGCATCAGGAGGGCACATGCATTCCCAGCCACCCAGAGCAATCACATCTCCTGTGACAGTCTCATAGCACCCACATCTTCCTTCCTTTAAGACTGTATAATATGACTTTTCCCCTCCCGCCTGCAGAATTGGAGAGACTGCCTCTCCAGCAGCCATGTTCCTCACATGAATCCCCATTTTGGTCTTCAGAATTATTGTCCCCATTTTGATGAGTCCACAGGGACCCAACTGGTAAGTATATGAATTGCTCAAGTTCACACACAACTCAGGCCAGGGAGGCATAACTTGTCTCTTTGAGTCCCAGCCTCCTTAGGCTGTAGGACCAACACAGGGGCTTGGTATGAACAAACTATAAAAACCTTACTCTCTGGGGAGGACAAACCTGTCTGATCACATTTCACCCTCATTCCGGCAGTGTCAGGGAGCAGGCCAGGATTATGAGGCTGTGTCTCCAGCAAGTTAGTGGCAAAGCTGGGTCCCAGACCGATGTGTCCAGTGTCATATTGTGTCTGATAGCTGACAGACCTCTGCTGAAACTGCCTCTTATATTGGCAGGAAAAAGAGAAGGCCCAGTTGGCAGCAGAAACTCTGAAGCAGGCAAATCGTGTTTCTGGAAGCCAGGAGCCAAGGCCTGCCAGGGAAAGGCTCTTGGAGTGGCCTGACCAGGAATTGGATCGGGTCAACAGCTTCCTGAGCAGCCGTCTGCAAGAGATCAAGAACACTGTCAAAGACTCCATCCGTGCCAGCTTCAGTGTGTGTGAGCTCAGCATGGACAGCAATGGCTTCTCTAAGGAGGGGGCTGCTGAGCCTGAGCCCCAAACTGTATCCCCCTCAAACCTCAATGGCTCCTCAGAGCAACGGCCTGACATCAACCTTGACCTGTCCCCTTTGACTTTGGGCTCTCCCCAGAGCCACACGTTACAAGCGCCAGGTGAGCCGGCCCCACCGTGGGCAGAAATGAGAGGTCCCCACCCACCATGGACAGAGGTGAGGGGCCCCCCTCCTGGTATCATGCCTGAGAATGGGCTAGTGAGGAGACTCAACACGGTGCCCAACCTGTCCCGGGTGATTTGGGTCAAGACGCCTAAACCAGGCAATCCTAGTTCTGAGGATTCAGGCTCAAAGGAGGTCCCCAGTTGCAAGCAGGAGCTGCCTGAGCCTGTGGCCACAGGTGGGAAGCCACGGAAAGGCAAAAAACAGGGTAGTCAGGCCAAGAAGAACGAGGTGAACCTGGCCTCCCATCCTCCAGCCAACACAGAGGTTCCCAGTGCCAAGAGCCAGATATTTGGCTCCAAGCAACCAGGCAAGGCCCCAGAGCTTCCCAACACAGGCAGCTGTGCTGAGGCTGGAGAGGGCAGCCGAGGGAGCAGGCCAGTATCAGGTTGGGCTGACAGCCCCAAAACTGAGAAGGAGAAGGGCAACTCCTGGCGGAACTGGCCAAGTGAGGTCAAGGCACGTCCTTCAGAGCTGGAGTCTGTACAACCCCCAGGCTCAGCAAGGCCACAGAGCTTACCCCAGGGCAAGAGCCGCAGCCGCAGGAGCCGCAACAAGCAGGAGAAGTCGGCCTCCTCGTTGGGTGAGTGCACCAGGAACCAAATAGCTGGCCCCGCACCCCCCAACCAGGCCACAGGGTGGAGGGCAGTCCTCGTGTATGGGCAGTGCTGCCCCCCAGAGCATGACCCCAGAGGCTTGGCTGTGGGCACTGAGCCCTCCTGGCTCTGTCTTCCTAGACGATGTGTTCCTGCCTAAGGACATGGATGGGGCGGAGATGGATGAGACGGACCGAGAGGTGGAGTACTTCAAGAGGTAGGTGTGGGCTCATAATTCCCCCACTTTGCAAGGGGAGCCCCTGCCTATACCCAAGTCCCATATTGTACCTTGAACTTTAGAAAGGCCTACTCCCTGGCTCTTTCGGGTACCTCACTACCCCTCCAGGCCCTGCCACCTAGCTGGTCTGCTGGAACCCAGGGAGCCACTTTCCAGAATGGAACATCTAGGAAGGTGCAAGGCATAGGGAGGATGTGACACATCAGGCACCCCCAGACCTGGGCTTTTTCCAGCTTTTATTCACTCTTTAGTCATTTATATTTCCTCTACCATGCCTGGGCAATCTAGACAAGGAGAGATCGAGAAGTATACAGCACAGTGATCAGTGCTAATAGAGGTGTAAGAGCATGAGGCGTACAGGATGGGAAGAGGATGGGGGCTTCAAACCAAGCTGGGGGACAGAGGCAGGCCAGGAAGCTTTCCTAGGAGAGGTGATACCCAAGCTGAAACCTGAAAATTAAGACTGAGTTGGCCAGGGAAAGCATACGGCATTTGAAGTGTGGCCAGGGTGTACCAAGGTCTGAGGGTAAGGGAAGCAAGCATACTTAGAGAAATAGAAGCCCACCCCATACATTAGAGAATGAACTATGAGGTTAGGAAGGAGCTTGAATCTCAGGTGGGGGTGGTCTTCCTGTCCCCCTGGCCTCATGGGCAGTGATTCTTGAGCCAGCAAAGCTCCCATGCCTGCCAGACCCTGATACTTGGGAGCACAGAGGTTGTGTTACATCAGCTGGTTTCTTAGTGGAACACCTAGTGTCCGCTAAGGGGTCCAGCGAGGAAGGGAGGGAACCTCTGATATGCTTCTTCCTGTCTCCCAACAGGTTCTGTTTGGATTCAGCAAAGCAAACTCGTCAGAAAGTTGCTGTGAACTGGACCAATTTTAGCCTCAAGAAAACTGCTCCCAGCACAGCTCAGTGAGGTAGAGACCCCAGGTTACTTGCATCCCCTGTTCTCTGCCATCTTATGTGCCCATTCTCTGCTTTGGGCAAGGGGTTTGGATTTGGGGCTTGTTGGCCGTGGTCTCTGTACTTCTACAACAACCCCACATAAGCCAGTTGGCAGTGTCCAAAAATCTAGACCCCGTCTCTTTTCTTGCAGCCACTCATCCCAGGCCTCTGTTGCTTCACTACTCCTTTCTGGCAGATTCTCCTCCTGCAGGGTCCCTTCACGGACTGCCATCCCTGGGCAATCACCACCAAGGCTTAAGCTGTCTACCAGCTGCCAGGCAGCTGCAGAACCCCTGGGGCTGCCCTCGCTCCTTATACAATCAGGCCTTGGGTTTGGATCCCACTTGCTTAGCCTGGTTCTTCAATGCAGATGATGAGAGTGGCTTCCAGCTGAAGCAGTGTGAAAAGAGAGCCAGCCCCAAGGGAGCAGTGAAGGGCAGATGAGTGAGAACAAGGATTTGTAGATTCTTCAGATACAGAGGATTTTATTGTGGGAAAAGTTCCCTGAAGAAGATAGTAACCAAGCTGCCTCCAGGAAGAAGAGACCCAGCCTCCAGATGGCTCTGGCCTTCCCTCTAACTCCCTGCATAGTTCCTTTTGTCTATTTTTTTATTTTAATTTTTAATTTTTAAATTTTTGGTTCTTCTGGGATTGAACCCAGGACACTTCACCACTGAGCTACATCCCTAGTCCTTTTTATTTATTTATTTATTTTAAAATTTTTTAAATTTTTTTTTAATTTTTAAAAATTTTTTAGGTATAGATGGACACAACACAATGCCTTTATTTTTATGTGGTGCTGAGGATCGAACCCAGGTCCCTCCCGTGCTAGGCAAGCTCTCTACTGCTGAGCCACAATTCCAGCCCCAGTCCATTATATTTTTTACTTTTAAACAGGGTCTCATTAAATTACTGAGAGTCTTGCTAAAAGTTGCTGAGGCTGGCCTCGTATTTGCAATCCTCACATCTTGGCCTCCCACATCTCTGGGATTATATATACCACCACATCTGGCTGGTCTGAAATATTGACGTTGGATGATATTAGACTGGGTACACACCCTAGGAGAAGGCATTTGTCTGGGAACTTAGTGCAGAAAAGGGCAGCTGGCAGGTGCACCTTAGTGCTGGGCTTGGGGCCTTGCAGTTGTGCACTCTCCTGTCTTAACCCTGAGTTGTGTCCCTGGGGTAACTACACTTACCCTTCAAGACGGTGGAAAGCTGGGGTAGGTAAGCTGAGCTCATTATCCCTACCCCTGTTCTTCTCTTTCCAGTGCCAGAACAACTCTCTGGGCTGAAGTAACAGGCTTCCTGGACCCTCAGCTCCCTAGGGACAGCCTGGAGAACCTGAAGCCAAGGCAACCTTCAGGGCTGCACTCGGTGTGGCATCCTTGTGCTGTCTCTACATCAGGACTATCTTATTTAGACTCCCCTCAGCCCTCTGCTGGGGATGCTGTGCTCCCTGATCCACAAGATATCCATACCCTAAGATTATCTTCCAGGGTTAAGGTGTCTTCCTGCCTCTTTTCCACCTCCACAGAATCAGGAGTAACAGACCCAGGCACTTCAACTGTTGTTTTCCTAATGAGAGAAAAAGGGTCACATCTCCCATAAGCCAAATTCCACTGTCATTCAGGAAGCCATATCCAACCATCTTCTCCCACCTTGACTGATCTCTAAAACATGCTCTATGCATGAGAAAGCAGTGCTGGCATGGACTTGGGACCTAGCCCAGGCTGTGTCCCTAGAGCCTAAGGCAGGAATATGAGTACAGAGCTGGCTTTGTCTAGTACCTGCCAGTGGGAGAGCAGATAACTAGTAGCTACTTAGCTACTTAGTCCTGGCCCAGAAGGGTATTCTGCAGCAGGGGTCCTAAGATCCTCAGAAACTATCCCTCACATGCCAGAACCCCAGCCCAGGACTAGGGTTCTTTCCCTCCCACCCCCCAATAGGGTCTTAACCTTCTTCTTCTGCTCAAGGTGATCCAGGGAATCTATTCAGCATTTTCAGCCTAAGGAACAAAAATAGGAGACCATTGTTCTTACCTCCACAGGGACCCAGAGTCCGTGTAGGTTGGGCGTGCACTGTTCTCACTGTGATCCTGCTCTTTTATTCTTTCTCAGCCCTGCCTAGGTCAAGCTTCTTCAGGGCATCCTGAGGCCCCGACTGCCAGCTGAAGGTCTACAGTTTTTCCTCCCACATGTCCTGCCCACCTGCCCTGACCCCTCCCTGCTCCTGCCATCCTGGACCAACCAAACGCTGAATGGATGCTGTGCTGTGCTAGAGTCCCTCAGGACCTCGGCAGAGCCGCTTCCTGGTGCTATGCAGCCTCCACACTCAGAACCTGGGGACTGGGCTGGCCTGTGCTGTGGGCCAGGGGCTGATGGTACTGCTGGCCCAACACTGCTCTCTTTGTGTTCAGTTTTTTGTTTTTGTTTTTATTTTATTTTTTTTCAATTCTTTACTTTTGATACTGTGAAGATCTTTCATGCTGAAAGATAAAGCAACATTTGGACACAGAGTTGATGTGAATGGTGATTTGCTGGTCTGGGTGGGGGATGGGGTGACAAATATACTCAGAAGCATGGGATCACCTTAGTCACTAATCCATTGTCAGCAGTTTGTCCTGGTTTCTATTAAATTTCCTTAGAATTCTTCAAAGCAATCCTAAATGGAACAGTTAGTCCATTTTACAGTTGAAGAAAGTGACTCCACTGAACTCTGACCAAGCAGGACTGAGCAAAGGCCTATGTAACTGTGGGGTCGGTGCCCTTTCCTCCTGTTGGAGGGACTTTGGTATGTGAGTTTGAAGCAGCCCCTCCCAGCTGTATGTCTCAGCTTGCCCCTTGACAAGATGGGTGATCTGCAAGTTAGATGTGGTCTTTCTGCATGCAAGGGTCTAGGAAAGATCATGGGCCTCTACGGACAGTGCCCAATAGCCTGGCAAGTTACAGGTTCCTTACGCTGCCTTAATTTAGTCAGGGAAAGTTAAGGGTAAAATGATTTTTTATAAATTAGATCTGATTTCCTAGAGGGAATGGGACATGTAGTCTAAGATAATGAACCAGTCTGTAAAGTCAAGCAAACTGTCTCATCCCCCAAATGGACGGAGGTGTTTTGGAAATTCAGATTTAAATATGTATATCCTAAAATGACTCACATACATTTATGTCCAAGTTCCCTGTCTCCAAAGTAGTTTTCGTTACTAAAGCCAACTCTTAACTTGAGCTTATGTGGGGTGTTCTGTGTCTAGAGGAGAGTTCTATAACTGGCAAGAAGGCTCGTGGAGCTTTATAAACAGGACCAGAAATCACAACCTCCCCTCCCCACCCCCAGGTTGAGCCCCACCATGATATGCGTGAATGTGTTTTCTAAAGAAGGGAAACAGCATTTGACCACAGGCAAGCAATTCCTGGTCCCTGATTTGTTCCAGTCTCTGAGGAAGTGTGAACACTTCCTTGTGAAACCTTTCTCTTATATTTATTTGTGTTCCTCTTCCTGCCATTCTTGCACCAAGCTCCTGCCTTAAAGTTGAATTAGCATAGCTGTCCAAAATGTGGCTCCATCATGCCAAAAAATCAAGACCTGATCAAGTAGTCCGTTTGCTTACAGAGAAAAGCTTATGTGAGTGTCATTCAGGGTCTTTTGTGCCTGGATGCCTGATGCTTAGCACTCATCCCAGCCATGCAGTCTCTAGTTAGGCTTACTACCTGTAGGATTCCCAACATTTTTTTTCTCATCTTTCCCTCTTCCCCAATTATCTTCCTTCATAAATTCCTATTAATCCCACATCTCAGATGAGAAGCCATTTGTCCTGCCTTTTTTCCAAACATGGTTTGTTTTCTGTCTTCTCAACTAATCCATAAAACATTCACATGCCAAGTGTATTGTCTTGTTCATCCTTTATATGCTTCAGCACTATGAACAGTGCCCAGCATTTACTCCTATTAAACATGAATGAAGGAAACCATGTTATTCCTCTTTACTAGTCCCCAGTGAAATTGAATTTATAACTTAACAGTCACTGCCCTGCATCATCGGGGCCCAGTATCCTTTTCCTACCATATCCCTGGCTACCCCGGCCTCTCACCAGCCATGGTGATCTCTTTATTCCCTGAAGAATGTATGTACTTGCACATCACCAGACCTTTACTCCTGCTGTACTCTTGCTCAGGAAGCCTCTATTTTCCACTCCCTGCAATGAGATTCCCACACTTCCCTGGAAACTCAAATCCAGTGTTTGCTCTAAGTCTTCTAGTTGGTCACTCTGATCTCTATTATAGGATTTACAACAATCATCATTTACATATGTACAGGGCCTCAATTAAAAACCACTGTCATCAGGATTTTATTTATCCCTCACCACTCACTGCGTGGTCTCAGATGAAACCAGTCAGAGCGGTTGTGGGTGTTCGGGGTCATTTATTCATCAAGCCCCACTCTGCTCCTGCGGAGACAGTGGCAGGATCCCAGCTTGCCAGATCCGGGAGCCCCGGGTCACTAGAGGGCTTAATGTTCGCTGGCCGCGGCGTACTAATGGCGTCATGCTTTAGGTCTGGCTAGGTACCTGGCAGGCTGCCCTTCTCCCTTCCGGATCAGTCTCCACTGGGGGTCTTCTTCTGGATGGGTTTGAACCTTTGCGCATGCTCCAAATTCTCCAGTGTCCTACACGTCGTACCTGATGTCTTAGGCCCTGGCAACAGTGGCGTAGTCGCTCACAGCCCCGCCCCCACCTCATGAGGAAATTTGTCCCTCTGCGCGATCCGGCTCTCCAAGATCGTTGCTAGGCGCCGACGTCCGCTTCTTCTCATCGGATTGGATCTCGCTCAAAGATGAGGCGTGGTTTTGCCGTGGCGCGCATGCGTGCGACAAAGGATGGAGGAGTCGGAACCCGAGCGGAAGGTGGGAACGAGGCTGGGGCCCACGCGGGTGGGGAGCGGGAGTGAAGGTGGGGGCGATGCGGAGTTCGGGTCTAATTCGCTTGTATCTGTAGCGCGCCCGCCCGGACGACGCGACCGCAGGAGGAAGCCGCTCCGAGGATGAGGATGAGGACGATGAGGATTACGTGCCCTATGTGCCGCTGCGACAGCGCCGACAACTTCTGGTGAGGGATCAGGGTCGGAGGAGGAATGGGGGCGTGACCACCGGGTTTCATTGGGATTGGAGGAGGCGCTGGCCTTCCCCAAGTTCCGAGACGATCTGAGAACTAAGTTTCTGTACACGCGAGCGTAGCCCCGAGGCAAAGGAAGGACTGGCGACCAGGCCTGAGGAGTAAGGCAGTCTGCGCCTCCAGGCACAGGTCCCACACTCAAAAGCCCGGATCCTGATGCAGTCTCCCCGGGGACCATGCTACCCTCGCCCCGAGACAGACACACACACACACACACACACCACTTTGAACTTGACTCTGAGAGACACTGGTGGAACCACAGCTCCAGAAACTGCTGCAGCGAAGACGCAAGGGAGTTGCAGAGGAAGAGCAGCAGGACAGCAGCAGTGAGCCCCGAGGAGATGAGGACGACATCCCTTTGGGCCCTCAGTCCAACGTCAGCCTCCTGGATCAGCATCAGCACCTCAAAGAGAAGGCTGAAGGTGGATTGGGCAACACTGCCTGGACAGGGAGGAGGTACAAACGAAGCTTAGTGCCTTATTTTGGTGTCTCACATCTTCGGGTTCTTTTCTCAGCCCGCAAGGAATCTGCCAAGGAGAAGCAACTAAAGGAAGAAGAGAAGATTCTGGAGAGTGTGGCTGAAGGCCGAGGTAGGGTTGTAGCTAGGACAATAAGGAGGTGGATTGAATCATCTCCCCGCAACCCGAGGCATTTAATATCTCATAGGATCTGGCCTCTGGGAAACAGGAGCCAGCCCTGAGTTATGTTTGTTTTCTCAGCCTTGATGTCAGTGAAGGAGATGGCCAAGGGCATTACATATGATGACCCAATCAAAACCAGGTATGTCTTTCCAGACTGTTCAGTTGCCCTTACTTAGGATGGTGTGTGGCTGAGACTAGCAGTGACACCCCAAGCCCAGCTGTTCCAAGGCCTCTGTTGAACCCTACCACCCACCCACAGTTGGACACCACCCCGTTACGTCCTGAGCATGTCTGAAGAGCGGCATGAACGAGTTCGGAAGAAGTACCACATCCTGGTGGAGGGAGATGGTATCCCACCACCCATCAAGAGCTTTAAGGAAATGAAGTTTCCTGCAGGTATCTGGGAACAGAGAGGAAATGCTACATTTTTCTAATCGAGTCTTGGTGAGGTGTGCCTTAGCCTCCACTGAGTTCAGCATTGTCAGTGTTGAGTCCAGACAATAAGAATGGAGAGATTTAAAAAGGGATATCCTTAGGCTTATTTTTCAACTGTCCTAACTGTACATGTTCTCTGTCTTCTGTAACAGAGTTTCACTGGGAAACTGCTATTGGGTTTAGATAGCTGTGGGTGTGAATACTGGCTCCAGCAAGCCCGTTGGCATTGGACAAGTCTCTCTTCCTTTCTCTCCCTGAGCCTGTTTCATCACTTGCAGCTTGTGGGGTAGTGCTGATCTTACAGACTCTAGGACTCTGATAAAGCACTTGCTATTTCCCACAGCCATCCTGCGAGGCCTAAAGAAAAAAGGCATTCTCCACCCAACACCTATTCAGATCCAAGGTATCCCTACCATGTGAGTATGGACCATGGACTTGGGGTCCCTGAGGAAAGCAGTGACAGGGAGAAGCAATAACCAAGTGTCTGACTGGAGAAGTAGTTGCTGTTTCCTGCTGGACCTGGCCCTCAGGCTATCTTCTCCTACAGTCTTTCGGGCCGGGACATGATTGGCATTGCCTTCACGGGGTCAGGCAAGACGTTGGTGTTCACACTGCCCGTCATCATGTTCTGTCTGGAACAAGAGAAGCGGTTGCCTTTCTCTAAGCGTGAGGGGCCCTATGGACTCATCATCTGCCCCTCGGTAAGATGGGCTGGACTGGAGGGCAGGGTAGAGACTGGGATCACCTGGTGCCAGCTTTATCTTTGTGCCTACAGCGGGAACTGGCCCGGCAAACCCATGGCATCCTGGAATATTACTGCCGCCTGCTGCAGGAGGACAGCTCACCTCTCCTGCGCTGTGCTCTCTGCATTGGGGGCATGTCTGTCAAAGAGCAGATGGAAACCATCCGACAGTACGTACAGGCACCCCTGCCCCACACCCTTCCACAAAGTCCCCAGAGAAGCTTAATTTAGCCATTTTGCAGATCCTCACAGAAGTCTCCTGTTGGGGCCCAACTCTTAAGGACCCTAAAGTCTTATGGGGAGGTGGATTGAGGTGAGACAGAGACATATGGCCAGGTACTGTGGGAACACAGCAAATGGAATGGCCTAGGCGTCTTGAAGGTAGGAGGTTAGAGAAAGCTCTGCAGGAATGGTGATATTGAATTTTGAAGAGAGGCAGTTCAAGCAGAAAACACAGAAGTAGGGATCAGGGGTGTCCAGAAAAGTCAGGGTTGTTCATTGCGGTCAACCAAGGAAGCTGGGGCACTAGATCG